TGGGCAGGCTGAATGGACGTCACAGGGACAAGGGTGGGCAGGCTGAATGGACGTCACAGGGACAAGGGTGGGCAGGCTGAATGGACGTCACAGGGACAAGGGTGGGCAGGCTGAATGGACGTCACAGGTAGTAGAGGCATCGCAGGCTGCAGGGTAGGCAGGATATCTTGATATTTTTGAGTCTCCAGGCAGCACATCCCTGGAGGGGTGGCGGACTTAAAAAGTACAGTAGCCAGGGTAGGGGATGTAGGGGAGACTAGAGGCAGTGCAAACAGTTAGGTGAGTGTAATATGTATCCTGCAGCACATGTGGCTATGGCAGCATAAGTAGGAGGGAGAGGCAGGTGGGACCGCAGGCATGGGGAGTCCCTGAACGTTAGCAGTCCAATTCCACAAGGGGGTGTGAAGCTAGAGAGACAGCACACCTCACACTATAGGTCTTACTGGGAGTGAGCAGTTAGCTAGAGCTGGAATCAGAGTCCCTATAAGCTAGACTAAATAAGAGTGTTTTAGTCTAGACTAGAATATTGTGATTGAGACTGAATCTTGCATATCCGATGGAAGACTATTCCACAGCTGAGGAGCTCTATAAAGGAAGTATCTGCAAAGTTCTTTCTACCCTGGGTATTAATAGATATCCTGCTCCTTGTGAACGAAGCAGGCGAGGAGGGTTGTAAGAGACCAGCAGATCTCCAAGGTGTTCTAGTTCAAGGCCATTCAGTGCTGTATAAATTAATAGCAGTATTTTGTAGTCAATCTGAGACCTAACTGGAAGCTACAGTATTAAAGGGAGCATAGAACAGGACTAATATAACATTTTTTAGTTTTTGTAACAACTCTGGCTGCTGCATTTTGTACCAGCTGAAGTTTATGTATGGATCCAGATGGACAACCAGAATGGAGGGCATTACAATAGTCCAGCCTGGAAATTATAAATGCATGTATTGGTTTTTCTCCATCATGGTAGGAGAGCATTTTCCGAAGTTTGGCTGTATTCCGTAGGTGATAGAATGCAGTTCTAGTAAAACTTTGTATGTGAGCATCAAAACATAGATCTGAATCAACCAGGACACCAAGATCTTTAACCACTGTGATAGGCTGAGTAGGATGACCACGGAGGTTGAGGTTGTCAAACTTATTTCGAGCAGCCTTAGGATTAACTAGTAGTGCTTCCGTTTTTTTCTGTGTTTAACATAAGTATTTTTTTTGCCATTCAACACATGTCTAGTAGACAATCTTAGTCATTAAATAACAAGTCTTTCCAGGATCTTTGACATGAAAAGATATTTTGAGATCCATAGTATCCTGAACCACTAGGTTCAAGATTTGGTTACTTGAGAACAGGTCAATAACAGCTATTTTAAAGGTTTTTGGAACATATTCACGCCTAAGAGACAAGTTTAGCAGGGTAGTGCTAATCAGTGGTAGTCTCCTTAAGAAGTTTTGTAGGAGTTGTGTCTACAAGGCTAGTAGATGATTTGCAGGAGGAAATTAAGTTCCACAGTTCTGATTGAATCTTTCTTTCCTCTAAAACAAAGTTGTCATTTTCAGTACTAATAGGACTAGCAGAAGACTGGTAGCTGTATGTAGCTGGCTAATCATATGTAACCATTAAAAAAATGTCATAAAGTCATCACTCCTAAGAGCTTCTGGGACTTGTGACTTTAACATTGAAGAATTCTTTGTTACCTCAACAGATTCAAACAGGAATTTAGGATTGTTTTTGTTCTCTTCTATTAGTCTGGAGAGAGACACAGATCTAGCAGTCACTAGTGTTTGTCTGTACTTGGAAAGGCTCTCTTTCCAGGCGGATCTAAAAACTTCTAGTTTGGTTGAGGCGCCATTTGCACTTTAGCTTGCATGAAGCCTGTTAAGTGCATGAGTATAGTCAGAGTACTGGGGGGCAGGTTTCTTATCTCTCTGCTTTATTTTCTTAAGTGGAGCTACAAGATAAAGAGTGCTGTGAAGCAGTTTCGCTATGTTCACAGTTACCTGTTTAAGTTCATTTTCACTTGAGGCTTCAGATGTAAGGTTGAAGAACTGTCGAAGTTGGTAGAGAAACGTTGTGGTGGATAATGAGGCCATGGAAGGACTGGTATTGTACTTTTGAGCTGGGGCTGAAGGGATGCTATATTGTATTTCAAAAGTTAACATGTAATGATCTGAAAGGAGAGGATTCTGAGGGATAATAGATACGTGTTACACCAGGACACCATGGCTAAGAATCAAATCCAGGGTATGGTTATAGGCATGAGTAGGCCAACTGCATTTTGAAGCACACCAACAGAGTGAAGAACAGCAGCAAACATTGCTGTTAAAGGATCGCTGTCATTCTCCATGTGAATATTAAAATCACCAACAATCACTGCTTTGTGACATTCAACTTTAAGAAATCTGCAAACTCCTTTAGAAAATTACTGTATGGACCAAGCAGTCTAAACACAATAACACTGATGACTGGAGGTGAAGAACCAGTGAGACTAAGAACAAGAATTTCAAACATGCTAAAGCTGTAACCACTTTTCTCTGACATTCCTGTAAGTTGGACTGAAATATTGCAGCAACACCACCACCTTTGCGATTTGGTCAAGGGTTATGCTTATAATTGTATTCAGCTGGAGTAGATTCATTTAGTGCATTTAATCCTTAAGCCCAGCACAAAAACTGTGCGCTGGGAGATTCATAGAATGGGCTTCCATGGCCGAGCAGCTGCATGCAAGCCTCACATCACCAAGCACAATGCCAAGTGTAAGATGGAGTGGTGTAAAGCACACTGCCACTGGACTCTGGAGCAGTGAAAACGTGTTCTGTGGAGTGTTGAATCACACTTCTCTGTCTTTGTAGTCTGATGGACGAGTCTGGGTCTGGCTGTTGTCAGGGAGATTGTTACCTGCCTGACTGCATTGTACCAACTGTAAAGTTAAGTGGAGGAGGGATAATGGTATGGGGTTGTTTTTCAGGGATTGGGCTAGATCCCTTAGTTCAAGTGAAGGGAACCCTTAATGCTTCAGCATATCAAGACATTTTGGACAATTCTATGCTTCCAACTTTGGGGGAACATTTTGGGGAAGGTCCTTTCTGTTCCAGCATGACTGTGCCCCAGTGCACAAAGCAAGGTGCAAAGAGACATGGTTGGGTGAGTTTGGTGTGGAACAACTTCACTGGCTGACGCAGAGCTCTGACATCAACCCCATCAAACAGCTTTGTGAGGAACTAGAATGGAGACTGTGAGCCAGGCCATCACATGCAGTATCAGTGTATGACCTTACATAGAGTTTATGTGGGACCTCCTTCAGGTAACTTGGAAAGCATCCCAGGAGGCCACCTCAAACTGATGTAGAGGAGAAAATACAGCCAGCCAGTCCCTGGAGCAGTTGAGGTTAGGACCTAGTGGTGGCATCACTGTTCATGGGACTTGAACTGGGAACTTTCTGAGTCTCAACCCACAAAGCTGCCCCCCCTCACCAACAACAAATTATTATTATTTTTAAAATACTTTTCCGGTCAGCAAATAATTCCTTATGCTATTTTATAGTGTTTAATTTTATAGTGTCTTTAATTATTCTAAAATGTAAAGAATAGTACAAATAAAGTATTTGTAAACTAGGTGTGTGCCAAGTTTTGACTGGTACCTTTGACTGGTCATATCTTTCCTAGGGGCCTACAGTGCCAGTCAGGGCATAGAGTGCGTGCGTCAGGATGTCGCCCGCTACATCGAGAGAAGAGATGGAGGCATCACCTGCAACCCAGACAACATCTACCTGTGCACGGGTGCCAGCGACGGGATTGTGGTAGGCGATGGACGGTCTTCCCCTGACGCACTGCGGGGGAGGTCTCTTGGTCTGCTTTTCATTCCCAGCTGTTATTCATTTTGTTTATCCGTTTGTGTTATTGGTGCATTTTACTGGTATTTAGATAGCTGGTGTTGGGTTCGTTGCCTTATACAATCCTCCCCTCTCCCAGGCGATACTGAAACTTCTGGTGAGCGGCGAGGGTCGGACCCGAACAGGGGTCATGATCCCCATCCCCCAGTATCCCCTCTATTCCGCCGCTCTGGCGGACCTCGGTGCCGTCCAGGTGAGTTACTACCTGGACGAGGACCGCTGCTGGGCCCTGGATGTTAGCGAGCTACGACGCTCCCTGCTGGCTGCCCGGCAGCACTGCAGCCCCCGTGCACTCTGCGTCATCAATCCTGGAAATCCCACTGGTGAGTCCTATATAGGCATGGAGCTGGTTTAGTCTTCTATATCAGTGTTTCCCAACCAGGTCTTTGGGGACCTGCAGACAGTCCACGTTTTTACTTCCTCTGAGCTCCCGGTAGGGAGCAAAAATGAGGACTGTTTGGCAGGGAGTTGGAAGGGAGCAAAAACATGGACCATCTGTGGGTTCCTGAGGACTGGATTGGGAAGCATTGTTCTAGAACACCAGCATAAGTCCCTCACTCTACTGTAGAGACCTGCGCGGGACAGATTTTTTAGTCCCGCTCCTGTCCGCTCCCGCAAGATTCTGTCCTGCTCCCACAAAAAAATATATATTATTTTCTCCCGCTCCCGCCCGCAGTATTCAAGTTTTGTCCCGCTCCCGCCCGCAAAATCCCGCAGGTAAACATATAAGTAGTTTTATTTTTACCACTTCTTCCAGCTACTCTGTTATTTGTTTCACTTGCTTCCCTTTTGAGTATATATAAAAAAGAAACGGAAAATAAACAAATATGTTTTGTTTTATTTGAGTTTAATTAAATGGAATGATGAACATGGACACGAGCGAGGAGCTTTTCAGAACATGCCATCCCGTCCAAGCACCAGGCTGATTCCTTCTTGGGGTGTCCGGTTATGTCCCCCGGCACTCTGAGCGCGGCAATTGTAGTTTCTGTAGACGATTCGCCTGTAAATTGTTATTTTAATTTAGTCGTTCTTGTTGCTTTTGAGGAGTAGATAAATAATAGAGTATTTGTTTTTAATAAATTAATTTTAAGATAATTCCATTTTGCGGGAGTCCCGCGATTAATTCTATTCTCCCGCAACCCGCACATACATGAGGACCTTACCGCCCGCACCCGCATTCACCCATCAAATCTTGTCCCGCGCCGCACTCGGTGCGTTGGGTCCCATGGTACTCCCGCGGGAGTGCAGGTCTCTACTCCACTGCTGGTTAGTACAGAACCAACCAATTACCACTTTCGAGTTTAACATTAGTCTGAGAGAAGTTTTCACTATGGTTTAGACTTCTTCCATAAATACCCACTGTGCCACTGTGAATCATCAATCATCATGTTCTTAGGTCCAGCCATGAGTCAGCTGCCAAAGTTCATATAATGTCTAACTTCCAGAGCTTGAGTTGTTCCTGTGTTCTTGTAGGAACGCCTATTTTCCACTTGTGTACATGACTGTTTTTCTGGGTCAGAACTGGGGTTACCAGTCTGATCCCAGATGGGTCAGTACCACATGTCCATTTTATTTAACTGCTGTGTCTCTCTCTGTCTTTTGCGTCATAGGTCAGGTCCAAAGCCGCCAATGCATTGAGGATGTCATCCGCTTCGCTGCAGAAGAGCATCTCTTCCTGATGGCTGATGAGGTGACTGTGACATCACCTTTTTTTTTTGTCTAATTACACTATACAAGCTGTTGGCCCTCTGACCTTCTCTGTCCTCCTTGCTTTCTGTTACTACTTTATAATTTCTCATCTTCACATTATTTAGTTGTCAAACTTATTTCCAAAGCCACTCATACAGCCAGATGTGTTTTGGGCCTAGAGCCTACAATGTCATGGTTGCCCATAGGGGTGCCCAATTAAAAAAAAAAAAAAAAAAAAAGGAGTTTGCAGACAATCCATAAAATTATCTCTATATCTAAGTATACTTAAGTAAACACCCATAAACTTGACCATACTACCACTTGGGTTGTAGACCCCATGTACATGAGCAGAGGATGGATTATGGATGGACTTGCCTTGCTTTCAGGTGTACCAGGATAATGTGTACGCAGAGGACTGCCAGTTCCACTCCTTCAAGAAGGTGCTCTATGAGATGGGGCCGGAGTACTCGGACATCGTGGAGCTGGTCTCCTTTCATTCCACCTCCAAATGCTACATGGGAGAGTGAGTCACATCAGCCCACCCCCTCCCCCCCATATACACACACACCATGCATACACCCATTTCAGCATCATTGATGGATGGTGTTTCCATGGTAACCATAACTTGTCTGCCCCCCCCCCCCCCCCCCAGGTGTGGTTTCCGGGGAGGCTACATGGAGGTTATCAACATGGACCCGGAAGTCAAGGCACAGCTGACAAAGATGGTTTCAGTGCGGCTATGCCCACCCGTGCCGGGCCAGGCCCTCCTCGACCTGGTGGTGAACCCTCCCCAGCGGGACGAGCCCTCCTACAGCACTTTCATCGAGGTCAGGGTGATGGATCCAACATCTTTCTAATTATGGACCTATCTCCAGTCTTCTATTTCTAGAAAAAGTGATGGAACGAGTGGTAGCCATGGAACTTCATACTTTTCTTTGTATGAAGGCACTCGATGAGCCTTTTCAATCTGGCACACAGTGCAGTACTGAGACAGCTCTTTTGAGAATTGTCAATGATCTCCTCATGTTGCTAATGACAGTGCTCTTAACATTCTCCTTCTCCTAGACCTAAGTACAACATTTGACACAGTAAATCACAAGGTATTCATTTCCTGTACTCATAGCCCTTCTCTGGTTAAGGTCATACCGCACATACAGGCAACAGTTTTTCACTCTAGGCAAACAAGTCCTCTGACGCTCCTCTAAAGAGTGGTGTCCCTCAGGGATCAGTTCTTGGCCCCCTTCTCTTTTTAATTTCCTTCTTGCCCTTCTGGTCCGATCATTTGTAGCCATGGCCTTCACTTTCACTGCAACGCAGATGATATTCAGTTATATGTTAGATCGCAATCGAATCCCCATCGAATCCCCTCTGAAAACACTAATGGCATTCATCTCAGATTTGAAGTTTGGAATGGATGGCAACTTTCTCAAGTTAAATAATGACAAACTGAAGTTTTAGTGGTAGGTTCTAAATCCTCATTATCCAAAACATCTGACTTCTCCGTCTGTATTGATGGTGTGTGCAATAAACCTGCTACTGTCATCAGAAATCCAGGACTACCACTTCACCCATCACTGAACAATCTCTGGAATTCTCTTCTTCAATCTCTCTGTAATTGCTCTTCATCTGACTTAAAGACCTTCCTGTTTAATGAGCATTTCTCTTCTTAACTGCTTAGATGTCTTTTTTTCTCTCTCTGGGTTTATGAAAGGTGCCATGTAAGTGTAATCTGTTTATGATTATTATAAGTTTGTGGAAACGGGCCACATGTCCAAATTTATGATGCAAAGAAAAGAAACTACATTTAATTTGTGATCAGATTTGATGGGATTCTACCAAGCGTCTTTATATGTTTATGTGATACTCTTGGCAGAACAATTAAGTGTGTTTTTGGACGTTTCCACATTTAATATAGATGAGCGTGTTACTGCCTGGTGATCTCTCTATCTGCTCATTCTCCCATCACCCCCCACCCCTGCCCCCTTTCCTACCCTCCTACAGGAGCGAGCAACCAACCTCCGTGATCTGGCGACGAAGGCCAAGTTGGCACAGGAGGCATTCAACAGGATACCAGGCATCACCTGCAACCCGGTCCAGGGGGCCATGTACTGCTTCCCCCGCATTAGCCTGCCGGAGCGGGCAGTGACAGAGGCCAGGGTATGCCCCCCCCCAAGCTACATGCCCTCTGTTGCCCCCCTCAAGCTACTTTACCACCACCTAAACCACATATTTCTGTGGGAGCCCCTAGATGGCCAGAATCAGTGACTCCGCTAAACATTGCATGAATGTGATCCTTATTAGGACATGCCAAAGTAGCATGTTTTGCTAACTAGCTAGCTACGAACTTCTGTCTCCAGTCACTAACTATTAGAAATTTATTTATTTATTTTTAAGATTTTTAAATATTTTGGGGGGGGGGGGCAAAGTGAATTTTTGATTTGGGCAGCAGCAACAACAAACCTACCCCTGCCCCCCACTTCCCTTCCTACCTGCCCTAAAGGACATAAATTTAGCACGCAGTGATAAAACGATTCCTGTCCTGCATCCCTCCCCAATCAGCGTTATTCTTGTGTCACGCACATTGATGTCCCCCTCTCCTTGTGCATAGGAAATGGGCCAGGCCCCAGACATGTTCTACTGCATGAAGCTGCTGGAGGAGACTGGTATCTGCCTGGTCCCAGGGAGTGGTTTTGGACAGATGGATGGTACCTACCACTTCAGGTACATGTCCAGTCACATGGCTGGTGACCTCCTGTCACCCTGTTGATAATAAATAAATAATTTCCAAGAAGCAATAGTGTCATTTTGAGGTATTAGGCTATAGAGGTCCAAGTTCTTCGGCTGCCACCCGATCTACAGTGATGTGGTCCTGTTTGCTTCATCGAGCCGTGACCTGCAGCTGAGTGTGAAACAACCAGGATGAGGATTAGCACCTCCAAGTCTGAGGCCATGGTTCTCAACCAAAAAAGGGTCGATAGAATCCTCTGGATTGGGGATCAGTTACTGCCTCAGAGAATTTCAAGTATTTCAGGGTCTTGTTCACAAGTAAAGGAGATGGGATCAGGAGAACAAGAGGTGAATCATTGCAGAATCAGCAGTTATGGGGACGCTGTACCATTCTGTAGTGGTAGAGAGCTGAGCAATTTACCGGTTGATTTACGTTCCTACCTTCACCTCTGGTCATGAGCTTTGGGTAGTGACCGAAAGAATGAGGTCATGGATACAAGCTGCAAAAAATAGTTTTCTTTGCAGGGTGTCTGGGCTCAGCCTTATAGATAGGGGGAGGGGCTCAGCCTTATAGATAGGGGGAGGGGCTCAGAGTAGAGCCGCTGCTCCTCCGCCTCGAAAGGAGCCAGCTGTGGTGGTTTGGCCTCCTGGACAGCTCCCTCGGGAGGTGTTTCAGGTATGTCCAACCGGGAGGAGGCCTTGGGGCAGACCCAGGACACACTGGACAGATTATATTTCTCCACTGGCCTGGGAACACCATGGGATTCCCCCGAAAGAAGCTGGCTGGGGAGAGGGTAGTCTGGGCATCCCTGTTCAGACTGCTGCCTCCGTGAGCCGGACCTAAGCTGTAGAATATGGATGGATAGTTGGTCCAAGTTCTAAAGCACTGATCCATTACATGTGAAAATATTACCTGCAATTTCTGGTGTACGAATGTACAGTATGACTAATGTCAATGCATAAAGCATTCAACCAATTAATGTATGGCAAAAAACAGCAGCTAAGATCAAGATTAAGATCGAGTTTTGTTAATGTCCCCTGATAGGCCTTCAGCCTCCTGTCAATGACGAATAGCACTTGAGCACCTGTATCCAGTAATGACAGCTTGCAAGGTGCTAGAGATCCCCCTCCCCCCCCCCTATTGTGTGGAGAACTCAAGCATACAGGTCTTCTCTACCTTTTTCCCAGGATGACCATCCTACCTCCCACAGACAAGCTGAAGATTGTGCTTGACAAGGTGAAGGAGTTCCACCAGAGCTTCACGCAGCACTACTCCTAGTGCCCCCCTCCCAGCTCCCCCACCCTTGGATCCTTGGCAACAAGAAACCTCTTGTTGAGCCAAGTTGCAGTCATCACCAGGTGCCTTTTCGTAGCTCTCATAGTGGCTGTGGCTCAGGTTATTACATTCTGCGTACATCACCAACCATGCCTCCTGAAGTGGAAGAGCAGCTGGTTTTAGTGGTATGCTACCTGTGGGTCTCTGTAGGCAATGCAATTACGAAGCAGTCAATGGACAATGGATTTAACAGGGGATGAGCTGCTTGCTAAGGGCTATTCTACAGTTTTGTGCCTCAGGTGGACAATCTGCAGTCACGCACAGAAATTCTTTTGAAACGGAAAGCTGTACAGGCACTTACAGAGAATGTTTTGCGTAATAGTTTTCATATTGACAGTATATTTTATATTTTAAAAGGTAGACTGGGTTTCTTTTAATGAATGCGTTAGAAAATATTAGTATGTATTAATCTCTATTGTTTCCTGTCCGGAAGGATGGAGGTGTTTGTGAACTTCAGAATGTAGCAGTTTTTTTTAATGTAAATAGAAATAAAACAGATTTTTGTTTCTCCCCTTTTACTATTCTTATTAGGTTGTATTTTCCCCCTTAACCGTACCCAATTAGTGTTACACCTGTAGTACCTACCTGGAGTGGCCTGTATTTCCAGCCAAGGTTGTGATTTATGGCTCTGGTCAAGCAGTAAAAATATAGAAATTTAATTGGTCCAACACAGTTGGATTTGCTGTGCCAGTTTTTGCTAAGGACACAGGGAGGCACATTATACCTTTTTGTTATCCATCCATTTCCTGAAACTGCATCCCAGGATGGGACGCCAACCCATTGCAGGGCACACTCACACCAACAGGCAATTTGGCAACTCCAGTTAGTCTCGGCATGTTTTTGGACTGTGAGGGAAAACCGCAGTACCTATAGGAAACCCCACGATGACACGGGGAGATCATGCAAACTCCACGCACATGGAACCCTGGGGGAGACTCAAACCCGGGTCCCGGAGGCGTGAGGCGCCAGTGCCAACCACTGTGCCACCGTGCTGCCCGTCGTTTTGATTAATTTGATTAATTTGCAACCGCTTGAATGAATTTCACCCACAACAGTTCAGAAAAGGCACTTTTACAAGTAATTTGTACAAGGTAAGATTATAACAAAAACGTATGGAGTCAGAAATTTACAGTAGAAGGTCAAAGACACAAAGGCATTGAATTTACAAATAATTTTCAGCAACAGTATAATGATGATATAACAAAAAAAATATGAATCTACATCTCCAAGTCATTTATAGTTTGTCGTAGTACACTACTGGCTTAATTGTCTAGATCAGCGATTCTCAACCCATGGGTCGCGACAAGTTCTGAAAGGGTCATGAGGCAGAGTTGGAAATGTTAGCATTTTAAAACCAGCAAGCTCCTATGCTGATCCACGATCAGATTTCCCAGCCCCAATCCTAGAATTGACCTATATAATCGGGTCTTGGGTCTGCAAATGCTTAGCGCAAAACTAGTGAGAACTCAACCAGTCCAAGAAGCTGAACCACAGGTGCTTATTTAAAAATTCACTCGCACATCCAATCAGATTTATGCGATAGTTATTGATTGCCGTAAATTGCAGAGTGCACTGCATGCTTGATCATAGCCATAATTTAAACCTATACTTCATATAGGGTCATGACCGAGCTGGGATGGTAAAAATTGGGTCGCAGTGCAAAAAAGGTTGAGAATCACTGGTCTAGCTAACCATGAAGTTACAGTCATTGAGTAAGATGAGTGCCAACATGAGCTCCACTAGGGGGCAGCAATGAACAGGAGGGGTTATAAGAGGTACATTGGGATTTGTCAGATATCCACATACTCCATCTTGCTCTCCATGAGAAATGCAATTTTTGGGTCAGAGCACAGGATTGGCTAGCATGCAATGCCCCAATAACATTTGGGATTAAGGGCCTTAGTCAAGGGCCTAGCGGGATTGTGATTACGCTGCCAGCCACAGGATACAACCCCAAAACCTTCTGGTCAGGGCTGTAAACCACCATGTTGCCCTAAAGACTGATTCATGTTGCCACAGAAAACTATCAAGGACTATGAATTATGAAGAGTATCACAGAGGAAATCTCACTAAAACTGGCCCAATATAAGCAAGACATTTTCTGAAAAATACAAACAAAAAATCTCCCTTACAATGACACAAAATAGTGGTGCAAACCCTTCCCAATTTAAATTTTAAACCTGCTGACTTGTCCCAGCTCCTTGATTGGAGAACTCGTTTTTCACATTTCTTATTGGTCAGTGTCACCAGCATTTACCACAAGGCGTATGGGGGTCTGAGATGCAGTCCAGGATTTGTGACCTGGCATTTTGGAGGGAGAGTAACAGAGGACCATAAAAAAGTGGCAAGTAGTACAGAGCAAATTTACATTTTTATTGTCATGTGTTCTGAGGAACACTGAAATTCTCGTGGCTTGGGGACAGGTGGATGGAGGGAAAAAAGTATTAAACAACAGTGGAAATAAAGGACAAAAACATCAGTGTAGTAAAAGACAATTCAAGACAAAATATAGTGCACTATGGAATGTAAGTCACCCCAAGGTGCTTGTAAAGGTGAATGGCAATTCATTTAAAAAAAGAAAGCATGCTGGGAACACAAACTTACTGCGGAATGACTTTGCAGCTGTATTTTAGCGATGGATCCAGGACTTTCTGAAGGTTCTGCAAAGAGTCATTTTCACAGCTTGTCCTGTAAGAGAAGAAAAGCATATCAGACAAAATAATTTCCGGAATGCTGGCCTTCAACTCTACCTGAGCTGCGTGTGGGCCATTGAAAGAGAGACATCCTTAGTCATTGTGGATTAGGAGAAAAGATAGGGATATTTGACTCATGATACAAATGTGGATGATCACAGGAGTAGATCTGGGAGGAGGTTGTTCATGAATTCCAGGGATTGGTGCAAGCCAGTGTTTCTCAACCCAGTCCTTGGGGCCCCGGGACAGTCCAAGTTTTGGTTCCCTCCTACCTCTCTGCACACCTGAACCTGGTATTTGGTGTTCTTGATTGTCAGGTGCACTCAGAGCTGGGAGTGAGTGACGGTGTGGAACTTACACATTCTTTTGGGTGACCAGGACCACAGTCAGACCGCTCACCCTGGGGTAGATTAACCTTCCCACTTCAATGGCAAAAAAACTGGCAAAAGAAAAAAATACAGAAGTGTTATTTCATTATTGTTAGTGTTGTTTTGAATTACGTATCTGTGTTACAGTAACCTATGCTAGCAAGTTTTTGCACACAGCAGGTTTTAACCACTTATTTAATAAACTGCAGATATTTTATTCTTAAGCATTGGAAAGTTGAGTGAACAACTATAAATGGAAATATGAGTGAAATAAAACAAGTGTCCTTTATAACACGGAAAGAGTATGTAACAGTGCACGTCTGACATCCCATTAACAGGTTGTGTGGTAATGGCAGAGTCAAATTCTAGATTGTCCTATAACTTTAAATGTACAAGTTGTTTCATCCCATGAAACAGAGCAGTATTTAATGTCCCTTGTAGAAAGGATTTCTTGAATTTCCTCTGCTGTTATAACTGATTAATCAAAGATGACATTTTCTTGCTAATAAAGGTACTCAAATGGTGAACATGCTGTAAATTTTGTTAGCAAAGAATATTGAGTGTATTTTAGTAAATGTTTAGTAAACATGCAAATGTAGAAAATCTCAGTGTGTGCAAAAACTTTTGGCTGGTAGTGTAGTTATAGCTAGAAAACACAATATTAACAGTTGCCTTGGAACTCCAGCAGTAGTGTGTTGTGGTTCAGTAGATAACACTATAGACTGGAACCTCCATGGTTTGGGGTGTGTGCTGAGTTTGCAAGTTATTCTGGTACACTCTGGTTTCCCACAATTAAAACACATGCAAACGGGTGATTTGGCAGATCTGAATAGCTCCTGCTGAGTGTATATACCCTGAGATGGGATCCTGTTCGGGGAGTCCCCAGCCTTGTGCCTCCTGCAATAGGCTCCAGACTCACTGCCAGCCTGTACTAGATAAGTGCTTTTTGGAGGGGAATGGCTACTGTTTAATAGTAACAGTAATGGACACACTAGGATGTGATCGTAAGGCTTCCAGGCCTGAGGGACAGGTACACAGTGTGGCAGAAATCATTTGAGCAACATTTAGCTGGAGAGGACAGGTTTTAAAAGGCCGGCTTGCGTCAGCTTTCTACGATTCCCATGGCAGTAGCAGAGCAAGGAGCAAGAATGGTGTGTTCCTGATTTCTCTCTCACACACAGTGCCTTTTGTGAGAATTTTGTCTATTAACCCCTCAGTTGCAGACAGTGCAGGTCCGTGGGGTTGGAAGCAAAGCAGATGGGGGGGAACTGACCTGCTGGGGTCGAACGGGGTGGCGATGGAGCCGTTCAGCATGACTGTGGCTGCTCCGCAGGTGTGCTCTGCAAACTGAAAGAGGGAAGGGACTTCACCCCATTGGAAATGGCCAAAGCAGGTGCCAAGCAGCCTGACAGAGAAGCTGCTGTCAAACCAATGTGCCGCGACAAAAAGTGATTTATTCTCGCAAACCTTCAGAATAATTAAGCGTAGCTATGAAAAGCAACATAGCAAAACGTAATGCATTTTAGTCAAAATTGCGTCTGGCATGCTGCACTGTTAGTGCAAGACTGGACCGATCAGTACATCACCGTGGCAACTGGACACAAAGCCCTTTTGATGCACTCAATTCCGGTGCAGGTTCAGTACAAAGAGAGACTTTTATTCAAACCGTAACAATTCCCGTGCTGACTGGCAGAGGGCCACCCCGTTCTGAAGGATGCACGCTAGGCCCAAATTTTACTAACCATCTATGCTTCAGCTTACATGTGATGCAATTCTACCTGTATCATCAAAGTACCTTTTTTAAATTGCTTAGCACTTGTTACCAAACCACCTTCCATAGCACCAAGTTATGCTGCAACAGTCTGGAAGCAGGGAAGGTTTGCTGCCAAGCTCTTCATCTGAGTGCTGAAAATGTTTGACTGACAGCTATCTATCAGTAGACATCACGCTTCCGGTGACCTTTGACTCAATGACTTTGACTCTGGTCCGAAGACTCACTCATTTGAGCATTGTATGTGTCAAAAATGTGGTTTTCCTGTTTACCACACAGATGGCAAATTAGAGAGTGATTTCCACGCACATAGTAAGTCTTTCTGTATTGTGTTAAGATAAGTGAGAATATGCAAATCTAATCTTATAAAGCATATATTGTAAATGAAATACATAGTGTTATGATCTGTTATAAAAATGCTTAATGTTTGTTGTCTTGATATGCCGTAAAATACAATATGTATAAACATGCAAGTAAGACAGGGAGATGCTTACTTTTTTAATTAAAAATTTCTAATATACTCAAATGTGACTTGACTCCTACTCATCATCTCTTTTGATGTTGATGTGATATATTTGGGATATATCTGTACATGTGGAACATCTAATGGAAATAATGGACATTGGAAATATTCGTTCACCACATCTTACTGTCCTGAGCTTGAGGTTACATCCACATAAGGCAACAGCATAAACCGAGGGCATTTCAAACACCAGTGGAGAACACATTTCCAGCATCCCACACTTCACTGGTCCTTATTATATTCATGGGTGTTGTGCAGATGTGGTATGAGGTCTAGGCAGGCATGGGGTGAAGTAGAAAAATAAGTTTAAACTCCCCCAGAATGTTTTTGCTATCTTTCAGGCAAATATGGAATAGCAAGTTTGAACCCCACCTTGAAATCTGCTTCAGACCCTGGTGGGTGAAATCTACACATCCATGCCTACACATCTATGGATCTAGATCAGCTGTTTTAAAGCCAGGTTTCACAGTTGGGGTATGAGGAGTGCGAGTAACTGAAGAGCAAAGGAATGTCTGCACTGGATCTATGTGTAGGGGGAGCTGTGGTGGACATGGCCAAAGAGTAATTTCAGTACATGTGGGGTAACCATCGGAGAGCCATTGTGTAACTGGTTTAAAAGCAGTCCTAATGCAGAAACAGGGCTATTGGTTACATCACGGTCCTGGTAGCTTACCATGCCAGAGGACCAGTTCCAGAATGACCGAACTGGATTCATCGTGCATTCTGTCCAGGCAGGACACCCAGAGGTAAAGATTTCTGAAGATGAAACAAAGACAGGAAACAGAGACACTCACATATATTTAAAACATATATTTTTCCTTCCTAGAGCATTATGCCATTAAAGCGCATGCCTGGAAAATCAAGAACACAAGTGCATGGAAATAGCCAAAGTATTCAGAAAGGCCACAAAAAGCTGCTGAGGACAGGAAACACTAATAAGCAGGGAGGTCCCAGGACAGAAGACTTTGCTGCAGCATAACAGTCAAGGAAAGGATGCAGCATTTATAATCTTTTTTTTTTTATTTTTTAAACACTCTGCCAGGCTGATGGTGAACAAAAAAATACAACGAAATTTTGTTCTGATGTGCACTAACCAGTGTATTTCTGAATGACAATAAAAGTGGCTATTCTACTCTATTCTATTTAGTGATAGTGGTCTATACCGTTACTGTTGTTCTTCCCACACCAGGTCAGCCCATCCATGACAGATCCCAGCAGGGTGTCCTCCAGTGTCTCCAAGCACTTCTTCTCTTTAGTGTACTTATGACTGATTTCTTTTGTTTTGCTCCAGAAGAGAGTCTGAACAACACAACAGCACTTAGACATATATGTGTGGCAAAAAGTATGTGGAAAACAGCTTCTCCAACATCTCATTCCAAAACCAAGGGCACAACTACTGTATGAAATTGGTGACACTTTGTTCCTGTAATGTTGGAACATTGCTGATGGGATTTGCTGCCATTGAGGTTGGGTGTTGATGACGAGTTATCAGGTCCCTTTCTGTGAGCTTGTGCAGCCCACCACTTCAAAAATGAACTTGCCGCTTAACCTTTGCACTTAACAATCACCTCACCTGCAGTTGAACAGGGCAGCTCTAGCAGGGCAGTAATTTAGTAAACAAAGACAGTGCCAAGCGGAAGTCACTTTGTTTACTCACATTTAGCCCCGACTACCTTAATTCCAAGTTATTCAGCTAAGCAAGAAATCCTGCCTTCTGAAACAGTGTTTGGACAGTACTGTGCATGACCAATTTAAAGATCCAGAAATAATACATAAGTGTAAAACAGTACAAAACAACAACACTTCTGTATCTTCTGTTGAAAAGGTGTGAAGCCATCTTGAATTCTGAGCTCAGGGTTGTGCCGATTCCTCCGAGTTCACAAGTCAGAATTCCGACTTCTGGGGGCGTTCCAGTTGAAATTTGCGACTGGGAACTCGGGATTTCCGAGTTACGAGTTCAAATGGAACAGCATATCAGCAATGTGTGTGGCTTGGTAAGGCAGTTCCTCTAATTCATAGGGATGTTCACATATTAATCATTGTCCTCCAGGGAACTTTGAGCCAAAGTATCATATCGAGTGAATTCAGGTATTGTGGGACATCAGGTAATGTGGGGCAATTAAGCTATGACAAGTTTATTTCCCAGCTAAAGTAGATCCAATTAGAATCGTTATCAGGAGTTGTTTTAGAAAGCACATGATCCGAAAAACATGATTTTGTTGGCCTGAGGTCACAGTTGAGGGTAAGGCGAGCATTTTCCTGGAACGTCCCTCAGAAATCACATCCTAAGGTGAATGACAACTGCTTTTGATTGTATTAATATTAAGGTTGTAAATCTGTCATAAAAATGCATTGTTCCTAATTCTTATGTAATTATGTCTATGATATACTACTGCAGTAAATTAAATACTTTAAATTGACAAAGTTCTATTTAATTTTTTGAACAGTTATTCTTCAGTTGTCCCACTTTTCCAAATTAATTAGGGAAAGTGGGAGAGTATGTTTCAAGTAATGTGGGACAAGTTTATAGGCTCTCCCAAGAAGAGAGTAATTACATATTTGACAGGATGGAGTCCCGACTCTTAAATATATTTAGTAACTATACATATAATTACTTATTTATGGAATGGGAAAAAATTGTCAACTTGAATTTGTTCAATTGTTTTAGTGTATAGAATAGAATAGAATAGAATAGAAAGCTTTTAGTGTCATCATACTGGAGATGCTACTTGATAACACCAAGGCAGAAAGTTAGAAAGGTGAAGGGGCAGAGCTTGCTCAATGCATGGAGTGAGGAAAGGATGGCAAGAGGAGGCCAAAATGATTACAAGCAACTGTATTCTATTTACTGTTAGTGTAAGTTTTACATGTATTGGTTTAGCTATTTTCTAAATTTATTTTCCAAAACGAAATTAAATCTAATGGATTTTGACTTTTTTCAAAGACTATTTTTGATTTAAAAAATTTTTTACAGTGAATGTTCAACTGTTCCTTGAGCTGTTTTGTCTATTAAACTCGCAAAACCCTTTGCAAATTATTCAATATTGATGTATTGCACCTATATTCAATACTGATGTATTGCACCTGTGACGTCTTCGCTCGAGCACAGAGCGGGGAAACAGCACATAAGCCGAGATGTCAGGTGAACGAGGACTTTAATCAGGAAAGCAACGAAGAACAGGATAAACCAGAAGACGAACGTTACACAACATTAATGACTGGACTGGGGAAACATACTTAAACGCGGACTTAAATACCTAGGACTAATCAACAACAAGGAGAAACAGCTGATAAATATGGGGATTCCACGCGGGGTTAGATGAGGGGCGTGGCACACGGGAATGACGGACGAGCGGGTCAGGACAGAACCTATATTCACACTGTCCCACATTACCAAGTCATGCACCTGTCCCACTTTACCTGAAATGTGTCCCACTTTACTTTACGGGTGCAGGGAGTGTATAGACCTGTATCACGACCCCCATAAGCAAGACATGTAATTTTTTTTTTCGTTTATGTGATAAGTAGACATCGTACGGATTGCAGATAGGTATACGTGGGTTAAGTAAATTAGGTTAATGTTTCAATGGGCGCTAGAAATAAAAATGGCAAAAAATGTCCCACTTTACCTGAATTCACCCTCTAGAAGTTAAACAACAACATTATTATTATTATTATTATTATTATTAATGATAATAATAATAATAATAATACATGACGTAATATGTTAGATTAGATTAAAAGAATATTGCGATTTAAGGCAAACCATGGGCGTAATTTCCAGGGGGTTTAGGGGGGTCACGACCCCCCCAATAATCAGATCCAGCCAATATAACCCCCCCAATAATCATGTTAATTTCCCCCGTAATGGGTGGAGACCTCGACCCCAACAATGTTCCAGCCAAAGGTACGCCCTTGAGGCAAACTAAACTATATTTTGCTAAACAGACCCAAACCAATATGCAAAATTGAAAACAATACGATACCCTGTTGCAGGCGGGATATTTGGACTGGAACAGTTGCCTGTAAGCCTCCGGGGGCACGGCGCACGGGTCCTGACCCACAAAGGCTTTTGTGAACGTCATCCACAGAGTGTTGCAGATGCTCTCACTGAAAGAAGGAAAGTGTACTTCAGAGCGGTTCCTCTTCCAAAACGGGGGAGGTGTGAGCAAGCTGTTGCACTATGCAGGAAGAAATATTAATTCGTATTTTTTTTCGAAAGCTACTAAAGCGATTTCACAAATCTTCGCGAAAACACAGCGATTCTACAAAAATATAAACATCACGTGTAAAAAAAAAAAAAAAACCACAGCAACAGCCTGCAGATCAGGGATCTCAGATCTCACAGCAGGGGCAGCCGAAGAAGGAGGGGTAAAGTTTGCCGACGCGGTCTGGGGGATTCTTGGAAAAATTTTGCGAATTTTGCATGATCGCCTGTTATCATAAGGGGCACTAGTTATAGTGTCACCCTGCCATGATAGGGCCGGGGGCGTATGCCCCTCTGCCCCCCCCCTCCACTGATTTCCCTGTAACGTGCGTTTGCCTAGGGAAATGTGTTACGCTGTACTTCATTTAGCAGACAATTACTTTTCCTTGTGATAATATTTGCATAAAATTTAGATAATGCACGTCTGATGATATGCAACCTCTTTCCCCAACTGTGTTAACGTGACCGGAAAGTTAAACATATAAGTTCAAAAGTCCTTACAGTGTGGTCACTGCATTCGTGGTGTCTGGTTAAATTCACTAGTCTCAGAAATAAATAAACGGAAAGAACTATTTCCAGTTTTAACAGCATTGATATTATTGTTATCTGCTTCTCAAGAATTACCACCAGAGAACTGAATAAGAGGTTCTTTATTGCCTTCATATTAATTAAGTTTTAAAAATGCTACAAATGGTTCCTTATCCATAATTATGAATTAAAATATATATCTTGCGTAGTCACTTTATAACAATCACCTTAATACAACTAGTCATAATTACAAACATTTGAGAGTACTTAACAAAGTGTTTTAAAAATAATACGACACATACAAAACTTCCAAACTTCCCGAACTCACCTTGAATCTAGATCGTTATTTTTTAAGAAAGTTTCGCATCGGGAAGTAATGTTGGTTTTTAAATCTTCGCTTGATGAGGCTCCATTATTACTTCTAAATATTATGCCCACGCAAATAGCGAGGATTATTAGCAGAAGGAGTGTCGTGCAGACAGCCGCGATGAGGCGATTTCGTCTTCTCTTCCGAGTGTCCATACTCTTGGTCTTAATACTTAATTAAATGAACCAGTGGGTAGCGAGGCTGCGGTGCGACAGGAAAGCTGGGCTTCCGATGCAGTGGGTGGCATTTTAAGGAAGGCTGGCTTATGAAAAGAGATGTTTCAGATTAGGAGGCTTATCATAAGTATGGGCTAAATGGTTGATGGGCGTATTTTCTTTTTCATTCACTGCAATGACACCGGTTTAGTTATATTCCCGCTTTTGTGTCTTTTTACAGCATTTAACATGCATGTGGCAAATTGGTTAGAGTAATTAAACTCCTTAATACTTTTCATGACGGTACATACAATTAGGGGAAATTAAATAACGTGGAGTTTCAGGATTGTTTACTGGCAGACAACTTTTCCCTTAGGCCTATTACATTTAACGTGTAGTCTATGAAACTGAAATAATACACATATTTCACAGCAACCAATAAGTGCAATGTCACTTAAGTACACATTTGTGCTGTTAGGAGAAATTGTCACGTGTATCGTAACGGTTCCGGCATTTCTGGTTATAAATCAAAATTCCTTAGAATCCCACGCCTTAACAGTTTCAACGTAGCGTT